GCTTGAGACAGTTTAATGCCATGAACCTGGCACTGACCTCAAAACTGGACTCCCAGTTTTGCTGAAAAATCCATGTGTCACGGAAGCTGTTACACAGCAGTCCTTGGACAGCATTTAATCAAGGTACCATGAGGCATGAGCTCCACTGGGAGTGACAGGAGGGGCACAGCCAAGCCTTTAATTTATAGATGGTCTTGAACCAAAGCCTCAGATCCAGATAGCTCTGCTTTAAATTTTCACGATGCTCAAACCCCTTACTTTGCAGGTTTCCTCTAATTTTAGGGCCCTGTTCTGAGCGGAGCAGAGAGTGCCCAGGAATGAAAAGGATGAAGCACTTCACTGGCTGAACAACCAATGCAGCTGGCCAGGGGAAAGACTCACAGGCAGCATGCAACGTCATGCTGTGGGTGTGATGTTCGAGCCTCTACTTTTAGGTCGTATCTTCAGGGTGTTATACATGGGCTTAAAAATGTGGTGCTTTATAGCACCTGTTTTGTTGTGGGAGGCAGCTGGAGAGGAGCAAGTTTGTTAAGATTTATTGGCATTAGTCCTCTGGGGTTGATGCTGAATCCATTCTGTTTCTAGTGAGTAGGAATAACCACAAAAAAATCCAAATACAGCTCTTTTCTACTACTTATCCAAAAGGCTTGGCTGCTGGTAGAGAGAAATTTTCTGTTAGCAGGATGGGAAAACCCATCCCAGGATGGGAAACCCATTCCACATGTTCCTTTGCAGATCCCCAGGTCTGAATGCACCTGAACTCCAGGGACTGGTACTCCTCTCTTTTCCAAGTAAGCGTTAGTAGGATGGAGGGTGTGAAGCAGCTCCCGTTAGCACAGCCAATTGCTACCCTTCCTGCCTATGCAGGAAGCATTTGCAGGTTAGTGCTACGGCCTGTCAACAGCAGATTATACTTTCTTTCCTTCTCCTGGAGAATAATTAACATCATCACCTCACCTCTGTGCTGAGGGCAACTCTCCTGTCCCCAGTCCTCCCTCACAAGCATAACCTGGGAACATTTTCAGGTGTGTTTTAGACTAATTCATGTTACACACCATTGTTCAATTTCCCAAGACACCAGGTCCTTAAATACTTCCTACTGAAATCGTTTGAAGGCCTGGCGTGAGAAGGAGAGAGAGGTTTAGAATGAAAAAAAAAAGAATCCCATCTTGGATGTAACCAATAGGTTTATGAAGCAAAATCCTATGCTTATGTTCTCAAAGTAGTCTAAGATGAAGTATCTGTATGCTGCATAGCTGAATGTTTAGTTTGGCCATTTGTTTTTCCAGCACCCCATGACCTGTCAAGCTATTTGACTGATTGTTTCATATTGTGATGGTCCAATATCATGCTCGGTTTTTACTCTGATCCGCTTCCCCATCTGTCTGTTAGTGCATCCCCAGGCATCTACCTGGATTATGGCACAGCCCCATGCCTCGCAGGCCCATTGCTGGGGCGTGGGGCTCACTGACTCTTTGTGGTCTACCCTCGTGACCGTGTTTTGCTGCATTCTGTCTCCCAGATTCATAGAAGGGAAAACTTGTCAAGTCCCTTTACAACAATGATTTGGTAAAAGGATTGCCTTTTTTTTTTTTAGGGAAATAAATAAATAAAATGAAAAAAAAAATCCATTCCATTTATATGTTCTGTAGAAGTCCTTGCCTCAGTGAAGCAAAGGCTGTGATCCCCTTGTTCCTCCGTTTCCACTGCTTTTGCCTTCAAGCTTTTCCACAAGTCCCACAGCAGCGTGACTTGAACTGGGTGAGCTGGCAGAGTTTGAGCTGCTTCACCTTCTCACAGTACCTTGTGGTGTCTCTGCACTCCACTGCCGAAGGAGAACGAAAAAGGAGAAATGGTGATGAAACGATGAAAGAAGAAGGATTTCTCACCGTGGGGTGGTCGAGAGGGGGACCAAGACAGCTTTGTGTTGGGAGGTCTCACTATGAGCACGAGCTTGACTTGCTGCAAAGACTGAGTGGGACTTCAAGAAGCCAAAGTCCACTCTTGTCTAGACGTGGGACATTTCTGTACAGCAAAAAGAGGCTGGAGGGGACAGCAAAGGTCTTGCTTGGTACCAGTAAGCTCCCTCAGCCCTTCCACTTCCACTAGAGCACCCCAAACGGGTTTGGACCTGTGCAGTCCACTGTGTCGCTATGAGAGGGAGTGTCAGAGGTGACGCGGCCG